TTTCTATACTGATTTAATAGGATTAAGTAGCTGGAGGGGCAACCGGTGGTTTTTCCCATCCTCAGCTCGATCTAATTGAGATAGGAAAACAACTGGACTTCACATGGCCGTCTGGGAAACTCATAGTTCAAAGAACTCATCCAAGGGTGTAGTTATTAAAAATTCACTCCTATCATGGGGAAATTAAAATTGTACATACGTGACACATGACATAAATATCTGCATAGACTTACAGCAAGAAACAAATTATTTCATGGAGGGTGAACTAACTTTCTCTGAAATAATGACCGGCGGAGTCGCCATTTTAGTAACAACAACAAAACATCCATTCAGGAAATACAACGGCATAAACTTCCTTGGCATAAACCATTACTAAAACAAACTAGAATTCAATACATACAGATAATCAACAACAGATAGCACAGTTGCAGACTCAAACCTTCGACACCCTAAATTGTGGGGATATAGAGCTGTCAGGTTGTCAGAAAAATAAGAAATTCAGGAAAGACAGAAATGATAAATGGTGGAGTGAGTGGGTAGTTCAATAACTGTATTATTTCCTTTATCGGCTTTTAAAATAAGGTTTTGGTTACTTTTTAACTTTTTATCAATAGACCTAATTGCACGTGAGATTATTAATTTTTTGACGTTTAGATTTACCAAATTTTGTTTAATTACCTCAGCACATTTATATTTTAGATTTGTATTCATTTTTCAACAATCTACCGATGTACCAAGGGATAGCAGTTTCTTTTCTATACAATGATCTTTTTAGGACAAATTTTAAGCCTTTATTAAATAAATTGTTTACTTCTTTATTTAGTGTCATGTTTGTTAAGTTTATAACCCTTAGGAAAAATTTAATAAGAATTTTTTGGCCAAATTTAACTTTTGATCGGATTTATCCCATTCTACTGGAGTCAATAATGAGGCAAGCCTAATGTGTACAAGATATTGATAAAAACGTTTTGTATCTTAACGATCGTTACTTCCAAGCATCCCACATAAATTCATTGTCTCCTATCCATTCTATTCTAGCAGGTGTCGCACAGGGCAGCGTGCTCGCTCCTTTCCTTTATTCAATTTATATCACCGACCTACCTACACAACCTAAGACTATCACCTTCACCTTTGCCAATGATACAGCAATCCTGTCACCTCCTCCTGATAAAGATCCTGTCACAGCTTCCCGTAATTTCCAAAATCATGTTTATCCTACAATCCTCTCCGTCAGTGGAGAATCAACAAACATAATATTTACTCTAAACAAGAAAACGCTCCCACCAGTATACCTCATCAACGTTCCCATCCCAGTTGCGAACCATGGACGATACCTCGGACTCTACCTGGACCCGAGTGACATGGAACGCCCGCACAGATTGTAACATACGATTTTTCATCCTTAAACAACCACTCGACAGACGATCAAAACTCACTAACAAACAAAAAATACTTTACATTGCTCCCATTTGGACATAAGGACTTGAACTTTACAGGACTGTTAAGCGTTCCAACCTCAATCGAATCCAATCCCTTCAATCCAAAATCCTCAGAACAATGTTCAACGCCCCGTTCTATGTATCCAATCACACCATACATACCGACCTAAATGTCCCTCTTGTTACCAAACTAGCCCAATCCCGCTACAAAACGTTCCATTCCAAACTACCCCATCAACCGAACCCTTTCGTCAAAAACCTGTCATCCACCTCATTACCCCGCGGTGGTGCCGCGACAACCTTAACACTTGACATCGGTCTCCTAGGACGGAGAGTACATCTCGCTCATGGATGGTAGCTGTTCAAGCTTTCATGCCACAGTTATTATGTTTATATGTAAATATTATATGTTTTGTTCCGTCGAAGAATGCAGTTGTAAAAAAAAAGTTTAAAAACAGGCAAGAACGAATTTTGGAGTTAGGTTTAATTTCAAACATTGGGAACTGAACCAGCTAGATTTTTTGATTTTTGAGCATGGAAGTCTAAATTTACGATGATTTTATTTTAAAGTTTTAAGAGTTTTTGTTTACTGATTTTAATAATTGGACGTAATGTAATTGTTATAATCCATTGCTGCTTTGACTAGCAAATTAATAGATATGACAAATGGTGAGTGAGTGTTTAAAAAAAATACTCATAAAGATAAAACAACTACAATTAAATTTTACCCAAGGGTTATAAACTTAACAAACATGGCAATAAATAAAGAATAAAACGATTTATTAAATAAAGGCTTAAAATTTGACTAAAAAATATCATTATATAGAAAAAAATTGCTACCCCTTGGTTCATCGGTGGATCGTTGTAAAATAAATACAAATATAAAATATAAATGTGCTGAGGTAATTAAACAAAATTTGGTAAATCCTAACGTCAAAAAATTAAATATCCCATGTACAATTAGGTCTATTGGTAAAAGGCTAAAAAGTAACAACAACGTTATTTTAAAAGCCGATAAAGGAAATAGTATAGTTATCATTGAACATCAAAAATACGTCTCTAAAATGGAACAATTTTAATAACGATTGTACGGAAATTTAAAAAAAATCCCACCTTAAAAACAAACAAACAAAACAAAAAAGTAAGAACGTAATGCCATTTAGGGAAAATTACGGATAATACAACTACCACCACCTCACTCATAGTCACCGGGAATTACAGAAAGGTTTAAAAGGTGATCCATCAATTAAAAAAAACGCGAAAATGTTACTTAAGAAATGATCGATAAATTACATGTACATTAAAAATATAAAAAAAATAACACACCATCTATCAAAGGGGAGGATGTAACTGATAAAACCAATGAGAATAGGCGTACTTAGCTGATCAGAGACGATCAAGCTACAAAAAGAAAAACGCAATTTAATAACCAAAATACCCAACCTTGTCACGCATTTCATGGCATAACAAATTAATTACTTTTTTAGTAATCAATGAAAAAACAGGTAGTTAGTGTGACGTGAATGTTAACTGTTCCAAGGGTGGCTCTCAAGAAGGTCATAACGTTCAAAGTTATGATATTAACGCAGTTTAGTATATGCTAATATCAAAAATAAAATATTTACGCAATAAATGGCGAATGAAGTGTCCAGCGAAAGAGAGCATAAATGTATGTATTTGTATGGCTCCCAAATAGATCCAATTTATAAAATGTTTTATACAGTAATACCTATTTCAAATTCTTTATTTATAAGGGATTAAAAGGAATAATTATATTATAAAGAATTAGTTGAAGCAATAACTAATGCCCACCCAAAACTCATTTCTTGATTTATTAATAATGAGAACTGATGATCAGACATTTAGTGTAATTTAAGTGTAATGTAAGACATATAATGTAATAATTATTATAATTATATAATAATAAACATTATAAGGATTCCTTATAATCCTTTATAATATATCTTTTTAAACAAAAAATGAATATCATTCGCAACTATATTAGACAAAAGTTTGTATTAAGCGATTTTTGTTATCATAAAAAATTTAAATAATTTAACTAAAACTTATTCAATAAAAATAATTACCCCAAAAATCTAATAAATCTAGGTATGGAAAATGAAAATAAAAAAGTTTATGTAGAGATAGAAGGTACAAAAAAGTATGTTGGTTTTACATTCACTGCTGGTTAAACGGACAAAATACTTAAAGTAATAAAAGAAGAAAACGTTTGTAAATATTTCTGTTTGTATAACTACTTAAAAAAAAAAAATAAATAAATAAAAAAAGAGCACACTCCGACAATAAGAGACATAAACTTAACCGAAAACAATGTTAATATAACACGTTACTCACAAAAAATGACCCACCGATATAAAAATATTTTGAACTTTTGTAAAAACAGCCTAAATAGTAGTAAAATTGATTTACGATGTGCATACATAATATTTGTTGTATTTATTAATTATTTTTATATTTTTATTCCAAAGACTTTATATTGTAATTTTATATTTTTTGTTTATTGTTTTTGTATTCTGTATTGCTGAGTATTTATTATTTTAGTTTATGTGTGGTGATTAGTGACCGTTAATTGATAATTATTCAGAAATCGTGAGATGCGGTCAGGTGTGATAGGTTTCAGAAAAACATTTTCTTTATCGTGTCAACGTTTCGATCTTTATTGAGATCATCTTCAGGGCTCAAAGCGTTTCTCTTCTGTGTAATTGTGCCATTCTTGCGTATCGTGTTGAGAGTGCCCAACTCACACGACACTCAAGAATGTCACAATTACTCAGAAGACAAACGCTTTGAGCCCTGAAGATGATCTCAATAAAGATCGAAACGTTGGCACGATAAAGAAAATGTTTTTCTGAAACCTATCACACCAGACCGCATCTCACGATTTCTGAATAATTATTTTAATTTATATTAACTTTAAACATATTTTTATTGGTTTTGTTTTATATATTTAGCAGTGATACAAATTTAATCTTGGTAATATACCAAGAATAAATTTCTGTATATTTTTACGTTTTCTTGATATCAGATATGTAATGAGACCCCATTTTTTTATGAAACCTTTCCAACCGGTTAGTTCTATTCTAGTCAAATTATCAGGTACATAAAGATTAATTTCTGTTTTAACAAAAAGAAGTATTTATGGATATAAAGAAAATATCGAAGCTTTGAAGAGGGACCAGGGAAGTGGCCAGAAATGCATAGCGTTTGAAAGACATGATTTAATATTAATAATTTGTGTTTTTAGTTCACGAAAATAGCCAACAACCTAGATTTAAAATATCTATTTACATTTATAAAGAATAATTTATAAGATCTTTCACTTTAGGTGTTGAATATGATAATAATTAGAATTTGTTATGAATGACCCTTGGTTCAGAGAAGTTCTTATTGTACTTTTCTTAAGATTAGGATAAAGTCTATTTTTTTCCGTAAAAACAGGAATCGTTTTCGATTGTGTGATGTAATATCTAATTATATTTGTTACTTATGCTTTTCTTGAAGGGCGGGAACCGCCTTATGATGATGGATGGTTTCACTCACCTTATGTGCCTTTGTGGTTGTAAGGGGGCGTTTATCTCTGCCATGAAAAACCTTGGGCCTTACAACGGAATGCTTTGAGAATTGAGGAGACGGGTGAACTGAAACAAAACAGTAGAAAATTCGATTAGCCGAATGAAAAACAAAAACAAAAAAAGGGCCCAGAGGCGAGGGTTGAAGAGAGAAACAAAACGGAAGGGAAATGGTAGATGGGTTGTTCGGACGGAGAAAGAAACAGGGGTGAATGGTTGAAAGTGAACAAGGGTTATTCAACGAAATATTATTAAGATGGTAATTGACGAACAATTATTTTTAAATTACGGCATTTTTAAACATCGCCATTAATCGACTGATTATATTTGTATTATAATGCACCTTCCAGACAACACTATTTAAATATAATTAAATATAGATATAATATATTTATATACATGTGATCATCATTCGGTCGTTCACATGTTGCAAATTCTCACTTGATATGACATCCGGCCCGATGTGGCCTCTATACATGGAAGCCAATTTGCACTACCCATGCTAATCCATCATTTATTTTTTCGATTTAATGCTTTTGTTCCTCCCTTGATTGTTTCCTACTCGGTTCTAACGTGTTTCGACTATATAACTTTATTCATTTTTAAACTGTAATGTTATACTAGACTTGAAGTGTGCGTTTCGTCCAACACAAATTGAATATATTTGGGTACCTATTTTGACATTCATCACGTTGCGAATATGAATTTAATAAGAACGGTCGTTAGGGAAAAACAGTACTAGACCATTTTTTGACACAAGTGATTCATCTACCAATCTATTGGTTTGTGAGGTGTACGATCGATGTATAAAAAGAGAGAAGCTTTTTAGGGTAAGAACTTACCCCTTAAAAATGCATTCTAAACTAAGTATCAATGGGATAAGTCTTATACTTTTTCACGTTAAGCTTGCACCTGTTCCGTCTTGCCATCAACTATCTTGTACGTCGTCTTCTGATATCTCGGCGAACATTAGGTTGATGTTGGATCAGGCACATATATCATCGAGTATATATCTCCTCTCGGATGGCTTTCGGATCCGGTCCATCAATGGACATCCCTTAACCCTTCGAATTAATTTTTTTTGTATTGTTTGGATTCGTTGCTCCTCTAAGATTCGCTCCAATATTATGTCAGCACTGGGGGTACCATGTAATTTTTTCTCAAGAACTCGATGAATCCGGCCCGATGTGGCGTCTATATACGGAAGCCACATTGCACTATCCATACTAATCCAACATTTTATTTGGATGATTCATATGACAACTGGCGCAATGAGAACATGTCCTACAATTAGCATGGAAAAGATATTGGGGCTAATTCCCCTACATCACATGGTAGAAAGGACAGCACAGAAAACCATAATCAACTTTATCAGAGAGAAACCTCCAACAGGAATAAAACTGAAATGGAGAGACAGAAACAAACTGTGGAAAAACCATCCATCACTCATGGCTCCAAGAGATGACATGAACAGGAGGTTTGAATTTAACAAAAAATTCCGAATACATCTGGGCACCAAAAAGGAATGGGAAAGAAAGGGAAATAACTCCCTCAAAAATGGCACCATCCTTTGGTACACAGATGGATCTAAAAAACAAGAAGGTACGGGGGCAGGAGTATTTGGACCCGGAACCAAATACTCAGAACCCATGGGAAAACACACCAGTATCTTCCAAGCTGAGATTCACTCAATTGAAAGATGTATCCAATTCAATCTAAATAGAGGATATAAAAACAAGAATATAGCTATCATGTCAGATAGCCAAGCAGCCATCAAAGCACTAAGCTCTAATACCATTAGTTCAAGGATGGTGCTGAACTGCAAAACCAAACTAAACATATTAGGTATGCAGAATAAAATCAGCCTTTGCTGGGTTCTACATGGGAGTAGAAGGCAACGAGGAAGCGGACACCCTTGCAAGGAAAGGGGCTGCCACACCGCTGATAGGACCTGAACCCTTCTATGGCATAGGAATCCACACTATTAACGAATATCTCAGACAGAAGGACAAAAAGAAAATGAAGGAACAATGGAATTCACTCATTGGACATAGACAATCCAAGAATCTTCTAACCAATTTTGGTAGGAAAGAAATCATAGAATGTGTCAAAGGAAACAGGAATAGACTGCGAATCCTAACAGGATTCCTGACAGGACACTGTAGATTAAATGGACATCTAAAGAAAATTGGAACAATCCAAGATGGCACATGAAGATTCTGCAAGGAAGCAGAAGAGACACCAACACACTTACTAACAAACTGCGGAGCTACGTTAGCCCGCAGGAGGAAATGTTTTGGGATGTACAATGTGACCATAGAAGAGCTTCAACCAATAAAACCGCGCCTATTAAACAAGTTCCTTGATGAAATAGGACTCACCGATGTGCTTTAGGCAGAGAACGGGGGATACAATAGCTCTTAAAGGGCGAAGTATACCATACCCTGAAAAATTACATCTACATCTACATCTATGACAACTGGCGCATCGTGGTCTCAGTACGTGGAACCTTTAGTTTCCTTTTTGGGGTTGTTTGTACCATCTGCTGTGAGATTGTGCTCTGGTGTCACATTCTTTGGATTCGTCCAATCTTTAAGGCCTCGTCACTGTCCCGCTCATAGCTCAGGTTGCAGCCGAGGAAGGTAAAGAGCGACACCTGCTACCCGCTGGGTATTTTCAAGAGTCATTAGTTTAGTTTTGCTGTAGAATATTTTCAAGACTTATCCCTTGCATTGTTGTTAAGAGGGATAATAGCTCGCTGCACATCATCTATTCTATAACTGGTCATAACGGCGGGGAACATTCTATTTGTGAGATGCAACAAGAATACGAGTTTCATCAACCAAAAAGCCTGAACTGCCTGGCGAGATAATAAAGGTACTTTCGCTTCAACCCTTCATATGACAACTGGCGCAACGTGGCCTTAGTATATGGAACCTTTACTTTCCTTTGTCAATTACCAATTTTGCAGGATATCATTCTTAAGATTCTTTTTGGGGTTGTTTGTGTACCCTCTGCTGTGAGATTGTGCTGTCGAACCCCTCGACCCATAGTAGTATTGCGGGAGGAATACAACTTTTAGTTGCGAGCAGCGTTACTGATGGTCTGTCATCCGGGGGCAGAAACGTCTTTTTTACTTCTGTTAATAGATAATCCCCTAAGGTGAGATGTCAGAATGATGACCACTATCTGACACACAGTCAAATATTTGGCCATACTGCTGCTCGTTGCAAATAGCACATTTTTTTAATTATAATCGTTATACTGAAAGAATTAATTGTTTTTATTCTTTAATTTAACTAACCTTTTAAATTGAATAGTATTATCAACAATGCAACAATCATTTAATGGACTGGTACGAATGTGTTAAAAATCTTAAGTGATAAACGATAGTGGAATTAGTTTCAGATTTAATTTATGTAAGCTTAAGGGCAAACGTTTAAGAACCTTTGCAATAGCTTCTATAATTGTTAATAGGCTATTTCGGTTAATTAATAATGAATATAAACAACACGGTTGAAGGTTAATTAACATAATCAGTTAAAATTTATAGGAAAGTATATGTAATTTGCAATATTTAATGTTCGGTTTCAGATCGGGGGCAGGTGTAGTGTGGCAGTGAGGTATCAACATAAAGCCCGACCTTCCGCGTTGCCGGCTACTGAATAAAACAAAACATAACAACCCACTATGCCTCCCCTGCCATAAATCTTCTTATTAACCTGGAATATTTTCTGAGCCTTTTTTACCTTCACGGTCGTTCCGAGCCGATGAGAAGCGCTTGTCGTCGTTTTCCCAACTTCATACACTCAAGACGGGCATAATAACTTATGCATGTTGCCGTCTTTTTGAAAAGTGAGATGGGCTTATATGACAAGTAGGTGTGTTTTGTTTTGCAAGACTAAGCCGATTTGTTTGTGTTTCGCAAGTCCATTGTTTAAAAGCTTTCAACGCCTCGTTGTACAATTGGGTAAATAATTAATAACAACTATAAAAGCTTTATGGGAAAAGCTTTATGTTGAGGTGCCGGGCACTTTCGAATTTAGGAACATGGTTGACCTTTCATATCGATGCGAAAAAAGTATCGATAATTTACTGGAATATACGATTCTTTTACTCCACACTTTTAGCAAGGTATCGAAAAAAACAACTAACAAAATGGGTTAATAAGCATAAGTATTCCGTAATCCCGAAGCAGTAGAGTAGAAAGCAGCGGACAACTGTTGAGTTTAAGAATTTTACTTGCTCTTGATGATATTTCCAAGTATGGCAAGCAACAAAAACCTAATGATTCATTTTTGCTGGGATGATTGACTCCGATGGCTGCTTCTTTTAAAGTTAATTTTTTATTCTTTTTACTAGCACCTATCGATAAATATTTCTTAATATCCATTATTTTTAGCGAAGGTTGTAATTGTTTGTAATCCTTTTTTTGTAATTAGCAGGTGTTAATGGGCGTTTCAACATACGGTATATGAGCCAAATGAATGCAGCAACTTTTGGGTCTAAGGAGGAGAAGAACCTGCTGGTATCATAGTGTCTGAAGTTGTGGATTTTTTTATACATATGCCTGTCTAATTCAATTAGGTTAATTACTATAGACAGTTTTAAGCCTGACAATTTGAACAACCATTTTTATTTACTATAAAAAATGTTCATTTCTTCATTCCGACAATTCTATTAGATTGGTATCACTGTATGGCTTATGTAGCATACCTAGAGGGTCGGATGGTAAATATGTGCTTAGGTAACAGTACTCTGAGAATCAGGGTCACTGGAGGCTGTCCACAAGGAGGATGTTTATCTCCTCTATGGTGGTTAATCACAGTAAACAGCTTATTAGAGCTTCTGAATAACTCAGGCTTTTATAGCCAATTATATTCAGACGATGGTACCATAGTGATCACGGGTAAGGACCCTCTGACTCTATCACTACTGATGAAGGAGGCGATGGGGTTGCTAACCGGATGGTGTAGCGACAAAGGNATAACCAAAACACTCCCCAGGATAAAATGGTCCACAATCCTGGGGTTTGTGAATAGGTCCAATAGGTTTATACAGGACTCGTG